CCCCCCAACCCCTAATCCTTATCTGTTGTTTTGATATTTTCTTGAAAACAATCAATAGGCGACAGGTTTTGGGCAAATAATATACTATACATGAAAAATTATGTGTTCTGCAGCAACAACACGGTGGTTTTGTACCCCAAATCAGCGCCTCTGCATGCGGAAGTGAAAGTAAAAATTAGAAGCACGGATGGGTGGGGAGAGAGGGGTATAATAATGACATCATGTACCCTTTGAAATGTCTTTGTTTCTCTCAGCCTTTTTCTGTCACTTCGTCATTCTTCAATGGGTAAGATCTTCAAGGTCTTTATTTCATGTCTTTTCTGTCGTCCCACTTTCCCCAGACCCCGATAAAGTAGATCTAGATCTAATATAGAAATATATAGATTATCTATATGTAAGACATGAAATAAAATTAAACAATGACAACTGTCCAATACAGCCACCTATTGTCGAGGAGAGGATTTTTAGTGTCATCATGTCATAAGAAAAAAAGAAAACATAATAATGAGGGGAGTGGTCGCATTTCAGTAAAGGTGATTGTCTTAGTCTTCTTATTTTAGTCTCTTAGTTTAGTCTTAGTAGACAGCCTCAGGCCGTTGGGCCCCGCACAAAGCCCCAACTGTACTTGTAATACACAGTAGGCGTTGACCCCGCATGTTTAACTAAATTCTCAAACAAAGCACGCACTTACCCCGCTGCATGCTTGAAGACAAAGAGCGCCTAAAACACAAAAGAATAAGGTATCCATGGCAACAGATCTGTTAGTGTCGAAGTCTCGGCCTTGTTGGCGTCTACTGTTGCTATCACTGTCTGCTACAGCAATCAAATTCAAACTCAAATCAGCACACTCGTCACTCGTCCTACTGAGATCACAACATCACAACGTCGGGAGTTGGCTGACTTGGCTACTTCTATGTAGGGCTGGGCAATGAGTCGCTTTAGCAAAATCCGGATAATATGTTAGTGCACCTCTTCGGCAGATAATACTGTAGTACATGTATATGAACCGCTTCGGCAAAAGGGTTAGGACCACTTTGACAAACGGGTTAGCACTACTTCAACAAATAGGTGCACCCAATTCGGCAAAGGGGTCAGGAAAGAGATTTAAGAGTCTGAATTCGGATAATGTTTCATTGAGAATTATCCGGTTATCCTTATCGATTATCCGGATTTTGCCCACCTCTACCTCTATGTCGTCTGATGATGCCCGTTCCCGGGCCGGTCGGCGCGAGCAAGTTGTTGAGTAACGGTTCAAGTTCAAGGGTGAACCAGTTAACCGTTTGCCACGGATTTTTCCCTGTCTGTCTGACGGGAACACTAATACGAGGTGCCCACTACGGCTGGATCGGGCCGATCGCTCGACTTGATCGCCTGAAACTGAAAACAAACACGATTGTCTTTGAGGCGATGGAGTCGGGCGATCGGCGGCCGATCTCAGCCGTAGTGGGCACCCCGTATAAAGGTTCAAGTTCAAAGGTTAACCAGTTCACCGTTTGCCGTGGATGTTTCCCTGTCTGTCTGACGGGATCACTAACCGTACATGATGCACTAACACTGACCTAAAAAAAACAGTGGAAGGGGTAAAATTTATCATAGCCTATCGTCGTGGGCGTCCCACTTTTATACCCGGTGTACACCGTCAAACAAAATCACTGCAGTCGAATTGGGTCAGGGGGCAGCCATATGTGTTTCAATGAACAGTTATACGGTGTGCCCATTGCAGATGGGATCGGGTCGGGTCGGGTCGGGTTGGGGGCGATCGTCCCACTCGTCGCCTGAAAAAAACCTGTCCCCGCGGTTTTAAGCACAAAAAAACCCCTGAAATTAATTATGCAAACTGAGCCCAAAAAATGTGAAGTTATGCGATTCTGTTAATTTTTTAGCACAGAATGATGAAGGAAAATTATCAGATATTATGCAAAAAATTATCAAATTTTTATAAATTATGCGGGGTGCACAAAACCACGGGGACAGACAAACGTGTTTGTTTTTGAGGCGATGAATCGGGCGCGATCGACTTGTGTCACGATAGCCGCTTTACGCCCTCAATCTGGCTAGCGAACAGCCCGACCAGACCCGATCTCCCAATGGGCACCATCATTTTGGAACAATACAACTGATTCGACTCGTGACCTTCAAAAGCAAACGCTTTTGATCATTGAAAGTCACAGTCGAATTTGGTTCAATTCAGTCGAATTTGGTTCAGTTCAGTCGAATTTGGTTCAATTCAGTCGAATTTGGTTCAATTCATTCGAATTTGGTTCAATTCAGTCGAATTAGGAAAAAATGATAAATTTTGCCTCATCTGTGAGGGGAAAATCTAGCTGTCCCCGACTGAATCAGGCGAATTCATTTGGAAGTTTGGCAGTGTGCACTTAGGGATATGTGCCGTGGATCAGTTATATGTCACAGTTGTAGGGTTTTCTTTTGTTGTCTATTGTCGGGGGGGGGGGGGGGGGGGGTACATTAATTTCTTTAAGAAGCTGTATTCGCTGTTGCAAAAAAACTCCATTTCAGCCCCATATAAAAGCGTAAAGCCAAATCTGGTGTATAAACGGTAGGGAGTCTGACAGGAAAGTTTGCGTGTACCGTCTGCTCTCTCTCTCTCTCTCTCTCTCTCTCTCTCTCTCTCTCTCTCTCTCTCTCTTTCTCTCTCTCTCTCTCTCTCTCTCTCTTTCTCTCTCTCTCTTTCTCTCTCTCTCTCTTTCTCGCACTCTCACTCTCTCTCTTTTTTTCTCTCTCTCACTCTCTCTCTCTTTCTCTCTCTCACTCTCTCTCTCTCATCCCCCCCTCTCTCTCTCTCTCTCTCTTTCTCTCTCTCTCTCTCTCTCTCTCTCTCTCTCTCTCTCTCTCTCTCTCTCTCCCGCTGCTCTAATGCTCGGACTACCCAGTGCACACTGCCAATCTGAATCTTTTCATGAACTTGATGGAGTCGGGGTGAGTCATGTTTTTCCTTCTAAAGTGACAAACGCTGCCCCATATCTCAATTGTGACCTTCATATAAATAAAAGTGACATCTTTTAAGGCTGGAGGTTGAATCTGTCGTACTGGGCCAAAATGGTGTACATTGACTGGGTGCTCATCTAACACAATGTATACCAATCTAATTCTGAGCTCATATAATACAATGTATACCAATCTAATTCTGAGCTCATCTAACACAATGTATACCAATCTAATTCTGAGCTCATATAATACAATGTATACCAATCTAATTCTGAGCTCATATAATACAATGCATACCAATCTAATTCTGAGCTCATATAACACAATGTATACCAATCTAATTCTGAGCTCATATAACACAATGTATACCAATCTAATTCTGAGCTCATATAATACAATGTATACCAATCTAATTCTGAGCTCATATAATACAATGTATACCAATCTAATTCTGAGCCGAGGCTATAACACCCACGGCACACTGGTCATTGACTTCATTAATTTTGACTCAGTCAAGGACAGCTAGATTTTTACTCTGTGAAATAGGGGCAAACGCTACCATTTTGACGTAGGTAGACATCATTCGATTGTGACCCTCAAAATCAGAGGCGTTGTTTTTCTTGGTCGCGATCGAGTCGAGTCGAATGGCTTGTGCCAAAATTGGTAACTTTTGCCCGTCCATGGAGGAAAGTCTGACCAACCCCGACTCAGCTCGACTGAATTCGACTATGTGCTCTGAGTATAACAGCAAAAATTCTCTACTGTGAAGAATCTTTGATAATTTTAAAGTACACAACCTCAAAATAACTAGATTGTTACTCGAAATTTTTAGTGTTTGGAATTCAAGTGTCTGGGACATCACCCCGTAGTACCCCCTTTACACCATGCTACAATAATATGAAAAAGTTACAACTCTTGTTCCTTCATTTTCTGAGATATAGAATCTAGCCTTGTTGATTTTGTTTTTCGTGTGAGGGAGATCAAGAGTGAGAAAAATTGTGGAATCATCCTGTCTCAGTAGTGAGGGTATCTGTGATAGATCCTTGTTCTGGGACAATGATTCAAGCGTCTCTCTCAGCCTAGCATATTTGTTTATCCAACTATACGTAATTAATATAATAATGGTATAATTTGTATAGCGCATTACCCCACTCTTCAGCAGGCTCTATGCGTTTTACACTAAGTTATTACCCCCAGCACACCATAGAACACTCAGAAACATTCTCAGCTTCCCGGGAAGCATACAGTGCAAGCAGCTGATTAGCCCATCAAACACTAACAAATTGACAAGATCTTTCGTTGTCTATAGTTGGGTACGCATTCCCACCTGGGCGAAGTGAGGAAAATTCGTGTAAAGTGCTTTTCCCAAGGACACAATGTCGTGTCCCTGACTGGATTCGAACCCACGACCTTACAGTTGCGAGTCCGAGAACCTAACCACTAGGCCACCGACGCCTCTATATCATGGTTGACTATAAATATGATGTAAAAAAACAGAGTATCAGCATCATGTGGACGTGAGTGAAGTCTCCACAAGGAGATTAAAAGTAGTTCTAAGCTCCTTGAGTCTCCACCATCCTGTGATGACCTGCCTCGTGCTACTTTAAATGTGTCGCGACGTGGTGGAATCACGTGCTCGTCAGTTACTGAGTTTGTGGGGGTTGTTGATAGCATCTTAAAGTCTGTTCATTTGCCTTCCTTTCGGTGAAAAACATATTCTTGTGACCTGAACTGAAGTCGAAACATTTGCGATTGAATGAGGTCAGTGTCGCCTGGTTTCAGAAATAAAATTAGCGAGAAAATGGTCGCCAAAGTTTGGTAACTTTCATAGCCTGAGAGTCCTTGGAAACTGACAATTTACCCTTTTTGGGTTTTTAATCAATGTTTTTCTGTAAAATCCACTCAAAAATGTGTTTTGAAAAGGACAAAAAATGTGTTGAACCCAAAAACCTCCCCAAAACAAACAGAATATTATTTAAAAATTCCCTTTGGCCAGAAAAACCCCAAACAAACCCAAAACCGCCGAGTTCTTTTATCTTATTATTTTGACGAGCGCCTGATTTCACCACGATGGCTCACATAATACGGTACATAAAGTTACCAGTTTGTTCAGTATGATGCTGTAATAAGCCATAACCCTCCCCCCCCAAAAAAAAAAACCCAACAACAACAAAAAAACAAACAAACCCTAAAATATTCCAGGGTGCAAAAAATGCCGTTTAAAAACTGTTTTGACGAGACCCTGATTTCACTACGATGCCTCACATAATATACGACTTTGACCCTTTGATTTTCGTTCCCCTAAATTTTCAATTCTATTCTATTTTGTCTAATGTAAT